AGCAGATGTTCTAACAAAACTTTTCAGAGAATGTTAACCTTCAATTAATAAAGACAAACCCCCAAACATCTTCAGGAATTCCATGCCTGGTTCAGCTTGTTCCAGTCAGCCAGCTTGCTAAAAATCCACCTGCACCATTAATTAGCTGGACTTGGCAGCACCATTTAAAAATAAACCTGCTCACTACCAACCACACAAACTAAGAATATAAAATAGGAGCAAGTAATGGATGGCAGCCATGGTCATGGAAAATGGTCAACGAAACAGAAAGGTAGTCAGGCACCAGAAAATAAAAAGTTGTTGGGCCAAAGATTAAACAGGCTTCTTGATACTAGAGAACACATCCACTCCTACTTCTAGCTGCTTTATATTGGGTGCCACTGTACCATATGCGTCGGCCACCTTTCAGGCAACCCATGGTGAAAAGACTCAGAATAGAAGCCAAGCAGTGGAGTGTTGTAACCCCGAATACCCACTATGCATAAAAGAGCTCACATATCCCAGGGATTCAACAGGGGCTTCAAATTGGTTGTGACGGGTCCCAAATGACATCTAGGCCTCAGTTTCCTCCTTGTGGCAAATGAATTGTGGTTCTTAAACTCTTCTGGGTCACAGCCCCCCCTGAAAACTTGCTGCCGATGGATCCTCATTCCCCTAAAATGCATATTCCCACTAATTTTTGCACACGATTTCAGGGAATTTGGGAATATCCAACTCCAATCCAAAGTTCCCAGGTTCAAAATCCAAGGATTGGACAATTGCTAAGTTTTCTTACAACTCAAAAAAAACAAACAAAAAAAGCCAACCATTACGAACAATAATCATCCCTTACATTCACCGACGCTTTATAGTTTACAAAGCGCTTTCAATCCCACAAACGTTGATAGAGGAGGAAACTGAGGCGCAGACAAATTACCAAGTGACTTGCCTAAGGTCACTCGGCCAGCTGGTGGATAGCCGGAAGCAAAAACCCAGCTCCTCCGACTCCGGAGCTTGTCTCTCCACCCCGGAGCTGCCGCCAGAGCTCCAGCCCCTCACTAAGGCGGCATAAGGAGAAAAAGGCAAAGTAGGAAGCCCACCACCAACCATCCCCCGGCCCCCTCCTGCCCGCCCAACTGGGTCCTTGCAGGCCCCGAAGGGTGGCGCCAGGCCTCCAGGCCGGCCCCGGCCACCCCAGCTTCCCCGGCCGCGCCAAATCCCGCCGCCTCCCCGGGAGCGGGGCGGAGCAGCTGCCCGCCGCCGCCGACCACCCGGACGACTCCTCGTCGAATCGCAAACGCATAGGCCGCCGCCCGAGTTCTGCGTACGAGAAGAAAGACGCGGCGCGAGCGCCAACGGCCACCGGGCGCGCGCCGCGGCGGCCGGGCCTGCGCCCCAAGAGCTGGATGCCAGAGCAGGAGAAAGAGCCGCCAACCGATCGCTCGATCGACCGCGCGCCCGCTCCTTCGCCCTACCAGACCGGGGAGGGGGGGAGGGCGCGCCAGGGCTTCTTCGAGTTAGGGGCCTGACTCCCCGGCGACGAGACAAGATGGCTCCTCCGGTCCGCGCCGCAGCTGCCGTCCCGGCTGCGTCGCTCGGCCCGCCCCCGGTACTGTTTCTTTAAATGGCGGAGAGGGTCAAGAAAGCAGGAAGAGAGGCGCGCGCACTCACGTGACAGGGGAGTGCCCGGCTAACAAAATCCGGTCACGTGGAGACACGCTACCCACCAATCAGGAGGCTTCGCATCAGGGCGGGGGCGGGAGGAGGGGCGGCTCTGTGATTGGCCGAGTGCGCCGCGGAGGCCTCGGGGGCTTGGGGCGTCGGGGAGTGCGCGAGGCGGCCCGGGTTGTGGGCGCTGGCGGAGACAAAGCGGTGGCTGAGGTGGCAGTGGCGGCAGCGGCAGTGGCGGCGGAGCAGCCCTAAACGCCGAAGTTTGTGGTGCCGAGTCCGGTCACCATCTCATCCAGCGCGGCGCGCGGGCGGCTGGTTTCGCGGCGGCGGCGGCAGCGGCGGAGGCGGAGGCGGCGGCAGCACATGGTTCCAAGAGCGCGCTGCGGTTGTTGGGTTCCAATTCCGTGGGGAGGGACAAAGGCAGCTGTGAGCGCCGGGCAACGCCCGGTCGGGTGGTGCGCTCGCCACTGTCCTCGATCCGGGCCTTGAAAGCTGGGACTAACTCCTCCGTGAGGAGGAGACCACGGGACCGAGGCCCAGTCAGGGCCTGAGAGGCTGAGGCTGGTGTCTGAGGGAAGTGGGGGAGGGGCGCGGCCCGCCTGAGTTAATTTGGGCGGGTCAGTTCTGTGGCTACTTAGTGGGTCATTGTGAGGTAATTTGACCCACTACCCTGACGAAATTGGGGCACACAGCAAGCTAGGTTTGGTCCGGGCTTTGAAAACAGAAATCGGTCTTCAGCGCTTAGGAGATCTTTCAGTTGGGAGGTGGTGAAGCCGGAACTAACGCCATATGCACTTCATCAACATCGTGGTCACCAGTCTGGGGCTAATTTAAGGATCCTGGGATCATTGATGGCGAAGACATGGGTGGTTGTCCAATTTTATGACTGAAGTTGCTAAATTTCCGGATTGGTAAGTTTACGGATTGGTAAATTTCCTCACAGGAAATTTAGAGGAACAACAACAAAAAAGGCTGGAAGAACATGAAGATGGAGCAGTAATTAAAACACCAACTCCAGTATCATCTACTCAAGGACCAACCACATTCCACTCCGTGAACTGTCGCAAATTAACGCTGAAGCTCCTTAAGACTACACGTTTATGACGTAGTTCCTTCCAAAATATTATATCATAGTCATTGAGAAGATTAAAAAAAAATGTAAAGGAGAAATCGATTTTTGTTTTAGACATCTTTTTGAATATATCTTGGTTAGATACTAGATAACCTTGTTTAACTAAGGAGCACAGATTTACCAAACCTTTACTGGAAGGAATCCTGAAAAATCTGTTCCATTGTAAGCTTATAGTTCCCAGTTAGTGGGTAAAGAACTGGAGACCTCATTGCACTCATGGCTTTCACAAATTACAGCAGTCTGAATCGAGCTCAGCTAACGTTTGACTATCTACACACAAATTCGTAAGTATCCTATAGGTGCCACTGAGGTCACTGATAACTCGTTGCTTGATATTAATATGGAAATCCTTTTCCCAGAAAATTTTGCATTTTTACTTTTTGGGATGTGTCACTGGATGAGTCTTGAGCTCTGTATGGAAGAACTGAGATCAGTGAAATGTTTGTTGCTAATCCAGAAGAATATGATCTACCTTTATTGGATCAAAATTTATTTGATCAAATGCAAGCTAGTTCCTTGAAGTCAGTATATTGAGTTGTTTCATTCAAGTGTTTAATAGGAATCCAACAAGTACTGTTCTTTGGATCGCCAAAAGTTGGACTATTCTGGTATCAACTCCTTCTTCTCTTTGGTGACAACAAGTCTTATAACAAGTTGGCTTATAACAAGTCTTTTTTTTCTAAGAAGGAAAAAAGAAAAAAAAGGAATGAAGACGTTTAAATGGCAACTTGTGAGAAGAAATTTTTTCCCCAGAAAACAGTTGGTTTTATTTTTCTGGGAAATTCATCCTCATCCACTGTAGTTTTTAATATGCTAAGCAGGAAGTGATAACTTGGTTAAACCCGTGATTTAAATAGCATTTCCCCCACATGTATGCAAATCATTGAACACATACTGTGTTCATAGTTCTTGAGTTTGTGAGTAGATTACCATCACTCCACATTGGTCTGGAATGTTTTAGGGTTAATCCTTATGCCCACTCTTTTGGAAGTGATGCAGTGGGGGTATAACTATTTAGTCCTTTAGTACATTCATTTGGCACTTTTGAAATGAAGGTAAGTATTTTCTCATTTTGGTACCTGGAGAGGTGGCGAGCAGCTAAATGAGTGGCCCAGAGTTCAGAAGAACCACCTTCAGGGTTGAGAACATAGACTTCAGTTATATAGTAATAGTACGATAACTTAGCCTTTTACGGGAAAGGACCACATATTTGTGATAATGTCTGTAATTTTTTTTTTAATCCAAAATATGTTTATTGGGATGGTTTCCCATTCATCTTGATTCTGGGGGCTTTTAGTGCCACTTCCGTCTGAAGGAGCATTCTTCCGTAAGCCTTGCTTTTCCTCCTGTAGGCTGACAGAGGACAGTAGAGCAGCCAACACACAAAACTACTGTTTGTGCATGGCTGAAGATGGTGGTGATTTTATAGCATCCTGGGCATTTCACATCCATGAAATAGGAATTGAGGCTCTGCACCAGGTGCTTCCTCTTGTGTTTCCTCTTTTCTGGAGAGGGGTGAAGGAAATCCTTTGTGAGAGGCATGATCTTGTGGGGAGGCCATCACTGTTGTAAAGGACATCTGTAATTTTTTTGTTTGCTGTTTTTCCTATCAAGGAAATCAAAATTTTCTGAGTAGTGAAGCGAATTGCTAAATGAGAACCTGGTTTTGTTTTGTTTAGGAAGATTCTTACTGAACTAGAGTGTTTAAGTAGGTATTGCAGAGTCACCTAGTTGAATTCTCAAGTGGATAATGAATCTGAAATCCAGCTAGATAAGGTCTCTGATCAAAGGTTATACCCATCTAGCTCATAGTATAGCCAAGGGCAGTAGTATCCTTTAGTGTATTTGAACTGCCACGTTAAGAACAAGTAGTGGAAGGCCACTTAGATGTTCACAGATGATTGTGTTTGTTAAATTCAGTTCTGAATTTTGGAATGAGGGGCCAAAACACTGATATTCTTGGAAGACCATAAAGAGAGTTCAGAAACTGGGTTCTTGTTCCAGCTTCCCCAAAGACTTTATTTGATAATAAAATGATAGTAACAACAGTTAATTGCTTCATGCCAGTCACTTTTAAACATGGTCTAAAGTAATCTTTATAGCAGCGCTACTGGAGTAATGGTTATTCCTATTTTGCATTTGAGGAGACTGAGGCTCAAAGAGATTAAGTTACATGCGAAAGGTTACACAGCTGCTAAGTGGCAGATGTAAGACACCAAGATTGAAGGCAGTAAGATTTATCTGGCCACATGGTTAGTGCTTTTAACCATTAGGCAAGACCTCCTACTGTAGTCAGTTTTACCTTGTTTCCTTGTCTATACAGCAAAGGGTTTACTTACCACTTTAAAAGTCTTCAATTTTAGTTTATCTCAATGAACCTTTTATTTGAGGATTCTGGGATATTTCTCTGTATTTCTTTTGCTATTTTATAGTTTATTAATAAGAGAACAGAGCAAAGGCAAAGAACTGAACCTCAGTTGAGTCAGTTGTTTGAAATTGGAGAATTTTCTGGGAATTTGACTTACCATGTTGAATTGGAACCACTTGCATAAGCATTTTGAGGGTTGGATGTATCATTTTGGAAGCTCTGGAATTTATTACCTGGATCACACCTTAGAAGTTGTTTACTTCTGAATGTGTCCAGTCCTGCCAGAAGAAAATATGAACCCCGGAACACCTAGATAAGTTTTTGGTTTGTAGCCAATTTCAGGACCTTTCTTTATTGTGACTTGACTGGAAGTTCATTTCTAGAGGAAACAAATTTTTAATTTTCATAAAATGTGACTTGTTAATCGTAATGACGGTAGATATATCTCCTCTGGGTTAAATGGTGCGGTGTTACCTTTGGAGAAGGGAGGATTTGCCTTCTGCTTTATTCTAATTTAAAAAAAAAACAAGACCATTTAGGGTGTCTGACATCTACAATATTGCCATATTGAATTGTGAAAAAAGTGACCCTTTATCTACCATTTAGTAGAGTCCAGGATAGAAATCAGTGTGGTGCGGTAAAAAGAGCATGGGCTTGGGAGCCAGCCAAGCTTATGTTTGACTGCTTCCTGGCTGTGCCCTTGGGTAGGTCAACTTATCTGAGCCTCAGTTTCTTCATCTACAAAATGGGGCTAATCTGACAATGTTTATGAGAATTATGTAAAATAATGTTTATAAGGTAATTAGTTCCCATATGGTTCACAGTAAATATTGAATAAATGGTGACAATTATTTGTTTTATTTATAATATTACCTCATATAAACCAAAAGTTGGTCAGTGTGGTAGCTACTTGCTGTTTGGTGGTAGTCATTAGGCAGATTAATTTTTAGTAAATTCTGGAGCATCTGTTGGAGATGATAAACTCCTGCCTTAAATTTTTAAATTTTTTTTGTGTTAGGTCTACAGTAACTGTTGATGGTTATTCTCTTGATTTGAAGCAGAGTTTGAAGCAGGCCTGGGAAATTCTAACATGAAGGTCTTAGGCTAATTTGTTTTAATATTGCATGTTGCTCATATGAAATGATTGAAGTTAGGATTAACTTCAGTCAATGAACTACTAAATAAAAGTAGTTTTATGCTGTTACTGCTCTTTGGTGGTGGATTTTGTGACTGCTACTAAAATGTTCACGAGTAGTCAAGGGCCAGATACCAGATGTAGTGATGGTAGTGATGTTCCTTTGGCATAAGGGGCGTATCTTAAATCACTCTGTATGCAGTATTGCTAAGTGCTCTGATAGAGCAGGGTGCTTAAGTATAAGATGCTTGTTTTCTATGTCTCTTTGTGTCTGCACATTTAATAACTTATTATCTTGGCCATATATTTTTGGGTTGTTTTATTGGTATGCGAAGTGAATGTAAAGGAACCTTTCAACTCTAGAGACCATATATCTTATGATTTATAATCTTGTTGAAATGTGGGTTCACACTCTGACTATATTAAAGCCATTAGAATGTAGAATGGTTGCTCTAGAATTTTTACCTTTATTTTCTAGCAGTTGAGGCAATTAACTCTTGACAGCATATCCAAGAATTCAGCAGAAGCTATCACTGTGTGATGGGGTTATGGATAATCTATGGCTTTAAGTTCAGGCTGAATATAAATAGACCATTTTCCTTACATAATGAGTAGATTTACACTTGAATTTGTCACTGGAAATGCTGAGCTGCAAAGTTATTTTGATCGTAGCACAAATGGTATAAAAGCCAAAATCAGTTGAAAGTGAAAGAGGTTGTTAAAAATCTTTGTCTTTTTCCAGATGGTTGATCTTTCTTGGATCACATGCAAAGAATCTTTAGGTCTGTGAAGAAAATAATTTCCTTTGATACTTATACAGATATCTCTATCTCAACTGCCAGCTAGCAATGAGTACACCTCTTTGAATGTTATTTGAAAAAAAGGGGAGAGCTTACACAGTTGGTACGTTTTTGGTTCTTATGAATTTAAGAGATACTTAGAACTTTGGCTTTAGCATTTGTTAGTAGGATCAGTTATTCACTTGGAGGTTTGGAGAAGAATCCAAGTGTTGTCTCTGACCTTACCAACAGTTGTCACAAAAGGCTCCTTTTATGATGTGTCAGCACACATCACAAAAGCACCCCTTAGCTACATTTTAAAGTATCTGTTAACTTACCTGAAATATGTATTGTGGAACAGCATTGATACTGTGCAGAACAACGAAGACATTTGGAATGTTTTCTTTAGATTCTAAATGTACAAGACACTTTTCTAAACATTGTGTAGAAAGCAGTAAAAACTTAGCCAGAAGTGCTCTTTGTGCTTGCCCTTTTGAGATATTATTGAATTCTAAATGTCTTTAATTTTCATGTGAAACAATCAGAAATATGTATTGGTGAGAAGCAATTGCTGTTTCTGTTTTTGATTTCTTTGCCCTGATGGCAAAGGTATCAGAATTAGTTTTCCAGATTATTCACCATTGTCACTACCAAAGGCCAGATAATCCCAAAGATTTCTACGTACAAATTGTAGTCTCATTCTACTAAGATTGTACTCTTGTTTTTTTTTCCCAGGAGCTATATTTCTGATATTCCTTGACTTCAAGTACAAATTCTTTTTGAAATGAGAAATATTGCAGTAGAATTCGTTACTTTACATTTTAGCCTTCAAAATTAAAAAGAAAAGTTAGGGGGCTTCCCTGGTGGCGCAGTGGTTGAGAGTCTGCCTGCCAATGCATGGGACACGGGTTCGTGCCCTGACCCGGGAAGATCCCATATGCAGCGGAGCGGCTGGGCCCGTGAGCCATGGCCGCTGAGCCTGCACGTCCGGAGCCTGTGCTCTGCAGCAGGAGAGGCCACAACAGTGAGAGGCCCGCGTACCGCAAAAAAACAAAACAAAATTAAAAAGAAAATGTAGAGTATAGAAGACTAATTCACTTTATAAGTTTCTTAGTCATTGCTTAGTTAGACAGAAAAATGATTGGTTGAAAGGTTGAGAACAAAGATTTACTTTTAACTTATATCACCATCGTCAAATCACTTTAATTTTCCAGCTTATTTTTCCCTATTTAATTAGTTGAAGTAATAAGGAGAATATTTTTTTGTTTCTTCAATTGATAATTTGAAGAATTTAAGGTGATGATTTTAGAGACAAATATTTTTTAATGAGTTTGTCTTTATTTATTTAAATTAATTAATTTATTTTTGGCTGCATTGGGTCTTTGTTGCTGCGCACAGGCTTTCTCTAGTTGTGGCAAGTGGTGGTTACTCCTGGTTGTGGTGCGTGGGTTTCTCATTGCAGTGGCTTCTCTTGTTTTGGAGCACGGATTCTGGGCACGTGGGTTTCAGTGGTTGTGGCTTGTGGGCTCTAGAGTGCAGGCTCAGTAGTTGTGGCACATGGGCTTATTTGCTCCGTGACATGCGGCATCTTCCTGGACCAGGGCTTGAACCCGTGTCCCCTGCATTGGCAGGTGGATTCTGTTTTTTTAAAAAATATTTTAAAAATTATTTTTAATTTTATTTATTTTTTAACATCTTTATTGGAGTATAATTGCTTTACAGTGGTGTGTTAGTTTTTGCTGTATAACAAAGTGAATCAGCTATACATATACATATATCCCCATATCTCTTTCCTCTTGCATCTCCATCCCTCCCACCCTCCCTGTCCCACCCCTCTAGGTGGTCACAAAGCACCGAGCTAATCTCTCTGTGCTATGCAGCTGCTTCCCACCAGCTATTGATTTTACAGTTGGTAGTGTATATATGTCCATGCCACTCCCTCAGTTTGTCCCAGCTTACCCTTCCCCCTCCCCATGTCCTCAAGTCCATTCTCTAGTAGGTCTGTGTCTTTATTCCTGTCCTGCCCCTAGGTTCTTCACGACCATTTTTTTTTTTTTTTAGATTCCGTATATATGTGTTAGCATACAGTATTTATTTTTCTCTTTCTGACTGACTTCACTCTGTATGACAGACTTCAGGTCCATCCACCTCACTACAAATAACTCAGTTTCATTTCTTTTTATGGCTGAGTAATATTCCACCATATATATGTGCCACATCTTCTTTATCCATTCATCTGTCGATGGACACTTAGGTTGCTTCCATGTCCTGGCTGTTGTAAATAGAGCTGCAGTGAACATTGTGGTACATGACTCTTTTTGAATTATGGTTTTCTCAGGGTATATTGCTGGGTTGTATGGTAGTGCTATTTTTAGTTTTTAAGGAACCTCCATACTGTTCTCCATAGTGGCTGTATCAATTTACATTCCCACCAACAGTGCAAGAGGGTTCCCTTTTCTCCACACCCTCTCCAGCATTTATTGTTTGTAGATTTTTGGTTGATGGCCATTCTCACTGGTGTGAGGTGCTACCTCATTGTAATTTTGATTTGCATTTCTCTAATGATTAATGATGTTGACCATCCTTTCATGTGTTTGTTGGCAATCTGTATATCTTCTTTGGAGAAATGTCTATGTAGGTCTTCTGCCCATTTTTGGATTGGGTTGTTTGTTTTTTTGATACTGAGCTGCTTGTAAATTTTGGAGATTAATCCTTTGTCAGTTGCTCCATTTGCAAATATTTTCTCTCATTCTGAGGGTTGTCTTTTTGTCTTGTTTATGGTTTCCTTTGCTGTGCAAAAGCTTTTGAGTTTCATTAGGTCCCATTTGTTTGTTTTTGGTTTTATTTCCATTTCTGTAGGAAGTGGGTCAAAAAGGATCTTGCTGTGATTTATGTCATAGAGTGTTCTGGCAGGTGGATTCTTAACCACTGTGCCACCAGAGAAGCCCTTGGAGACACATTTTTAAAATAAATAAAGATATGGATGTTTCTTGCAGGTGTTTTTCCTTGCAAAATTGTGGGGGTTTTTTTTCATGTAAAATAATTAAGAATTTGATTTTAGAAGAATTTGAGCTCTGTTAGGGGACTTGGAGATAAAATTTCTACATTTTGTTAATACATAATGGTATACTGCCTTTGGATCAGCAGCAGATATATTCACTGATCTCATGGGAAAAAGTTCTTCCTAAAATTCCAAGAACTGGTAGTTTTAATTAAAAATTTGCATTTGTAAAAATTTGAAGGTTTATTTGAGGAAAAACCAGTGTTCCTGGACACTTGAAATTTGGGTATTTATTTTATAAACAAGCGTTTTACAGTTTGTTTTGAACAATATAGTAAGTGCTCATAGATCCTAGACACTGCTTTTTTAGTATTGGTATATTTCATTCTCAATTTTTAGAAATTTTCACTTTATCTATTGGCTGAAACTTTACATACAAAAAAGTCAACTGGAATAACATGGTTATTTTTGAAAAATTGATGATGGTAACTTGTGGGTTAATGCTTTTATATTTTGTTTAGTCAAAAGTCAGAGTTTCAGGACTCCTCTGGCAGTCCAGTTGTTAAGTCTCTGCACTTCCACTGTAGGGGGCACAGGTTTCATCCCTGGTCAAGGAACCAGGGTCCCACATACCACAAGGTGTGGCCAAAGAAGAAAAATGTCAGAGTTTCTAGGTGGTTCTAGGTAGACACATCTACTTTTATATCTAACGAGGACTATTATGGGAAACAGCACAAGTTAAAGAAGGTGTAAATGGAGGAAGAAATGTAAGGAGACATCTTACACATAAACATCATCTTTATTGAGTTCTGAATAACATGGTAATTGTGAATTTATCCCACTCACATTTTGAGCAGCCTCCTAGAGGAGGAGATGACCATTGGCTACCCTCCTTGAAAGGGCTAACTTGAACAATGGCCCTAGGAGGCCACACCAAGCCCTTATCCTCTTAGGATAAGGAGGAATTGTTTAAGAGGGTCTTGGATTCCTTTCTTTAATGTGGGGAAAGTTTTGGTTTTGGCCAAAATCAGGGAATGTCAAGAAATGGATTATTTTCTTTCTCTCCACTTTAAAATGGAGTATTTTTGCTTATAAATTGCACAAAACTGAATGGGTTTTCACCAGTAAATCACACAAAGGTATTGATAAAGCTGAATGCTAGCAATTTGTCCTTTGAGAATTCTTAAGAGATATGCAGAAACTGACAGCTGGTTAAGGCAATGAAAAATGTAATATAGGCATTTTTCAGGGTAGAATACGAATAGTGAAAAACACTGTTTTAGAAGTAATACACATAGGAATCTTTGAATGTTTTAGAGTGGGTTCCTCTGCTCAAAATAGTAAGAAATAAACATTTTTGAGTAGATAGCAGGACTTGACAGGTTAACACTTGAGGACTACTAGTGAGCTCTGGAAAGACTTGAATTGTGGGGAAATGTAAACTTAAGTAATGTAAATTGATGATGCAAATGACAATTTTAGTTTTTTTTTCCAAAAAACTTTATTTTATAACCTTGACTTTTTATTAGGAATCATAGTTTAATTCCATAATTCTTTTCCTGACTCTCAATATTTATCATTTCAGAACCACTCATGAATTCTTATTTGGTGCTCTTGCTGAACTAGTTGATAATGCAAGGTATGTAGTCTTCAAGCATACAGTCTGCCTGAAAACTTTTTGGGTCGTGTGACCTTTGCTCTCTGAAGACTTGGGAGAAGGGCAATTCTGTTGCAAATGCGACTCATTCCTAAGAAGTCTCTTACCCAAAAAGTATTTTTAATAGCACATTAGTTGTTACCTTAATTCATTCATTGCTGTGCTCCAGCCTAAAAATAGTGAATTTATGACCTCCAAAGCTACCTTCCCTTGTGTATTAGAGCAAGATAATTGTAGTGAAACACAGGGAATTAAGATAAAAATTTAGTTATCTAATTACTAGGACAGACAAGCTCTGTTTTAATTTGTGCTACCAGGACAGTACACTATCTAATGTCTTTAAAATTATGTCAGAGTTCTGTGTCTTCCCAAAATGTATAATCAGCCCTCTGTATCTGCAAGTTCTGCATCTGTGATTCAATGAACCATGATCGAAATTTGAAAGTTCCAGAAAGTTCCAAAAAAGCAAAACTTGAATTTGTTGCATGCTGGCAACTATTTACATAGCATTTACATTGTATTAGTTATCATAAGTAGCCTAGAGATGATTTTAAGTAGACGTGAGGATGTGCATAGGTTATATGCAAGTACTATACTATTTTATATAAGGGAGTTGAGCATCTGCAGATTTTGGTATTCCTGGGTGGTCCTGGAACCAATCCCCTGCAGATACGGAGGAGTGACTGTATTTTATTGTCAGATGACTCAGGTTGATCAAAGCATCTTCCATTGTTAGCAACTATGCTTAGAAGAAATCATTCTTTAGCACTGTGTTATACTGAATTCTTAGTGATAGAAGCCTATAAATGTTACTGAGCAAGACTGAAAAGTTTGGGTTGGTTCAGAGATAAATAGCAAAGTCCAAATACAAGTCTGTTTATAATTATATCACTAAAATATTTTCTCAGTCTTGTTCCTGAATGCAAACATAAAATTCAGACACGGCGTTTATTGACCAAGTGTTGATGACTAATGAAGGAAGAAGAGGATAAGAGTTGATAGGAGTACTTTCTAAACAGACCTCCAGTTAATGACATAATGATAATTATGTCTACCTATGTCCATGCTATAAATCTATACTATTATTACTTTTATTGTTATTATTTACTAGACTGCTCATGGAAGTGTGCTGGTTAACAAGTTGTTTAACTAGAAAGCTCCCATTTTCAGTGTTTTCAATTATTTCAATCCTGGTTGACTTAATTTTTATATTCAATTTAAAAATGTTGTAGCTTAATGGAACTGTGTTTGAATTTCCCACTTGTTAGTTTAGTGAGACTGTAATGTGTTTTGTCAGACTGCTTTTTTGTATATCATACGGTGAACTGGAGATTGGAAGTGTATGTTCCTGCTCATGCACACATTTTGCCAATCTCTTTTATTTTTGAAAATGTTTTTATGTCTTTGAGAATCGGCACGTGTAGAGTTGTATGGATTTGAGTGGATTTTTCACATTTAAAACCATTGAAACTCTGCGCCTCATTTTCCTTGTCTACAGTTGGCAGAACTGGACTAGATTACTTTCAAGCCTTTATGGAAGACTTCATTGATGACTGAACTTTTATTTCAGCTGATGGCTGGAGTCTAATGGGCTATCCCAACTTCCTTTCAAGTTTAGGGAGGATCAGATTACGGGCTCATGAATCAGTCTGCTGACTATAGTGTGTATACCATGAGACCTGATTTTTCTTAGGCTTTGTGGCAGGTTGTTTTCTTTTTTCTCAAATCTTGGTGAGAAGAAAAAATGGACAAGTTATTGGAATATTGTTTATGATTGCAATCAAATGAGTGATTGGAGTCATTTCCTAGTATGTAAAAGAAATGTTCTTTTTTATCCTCTAAAAAAGGATAAAACATTTTTTAGATGTTTTTAAACATCTAAAACACGTTCTTTTTAGATGTTTCACTGTGAAATTTTTATTAAAAAAGTGTGTCTAGGTCCTATGTATCCTGTGATTATTTTAAATAATTTGGAGCTCCAGAAGTGTTTCATAGACATGTAAGGAAAATTGTGTTACCAAATGTAAAATTGTATCTTTAATGTATATAGAATTTCTTTATGACTTCCTGAAGATAGATTCAAAATAGTATGTATCCCCCTCAAAATATTGTGCATCTTAATGGTTGATATTTTCATATTCTCATTTGAATCTTGATTTTTTTTTCTTTTAACTTTGCAGAGATGCTGATGCCACCAGAATCGATATCTATGCAGGTAAGACAGACATCAGCCCTTTCTTCTAATGCCCAGTTCCCGAAAGCATTTGTTGCTGTGCCTAAGAAGAAATGAGTGGGAAAAAACTGGTTTTTGGAGCATGGGTAGACAGCCTGATTACTACAGGTCTTAGGGAGAAACAGGGCAGCCCTGGTCAGGCATGTAATAGAAATCAAGAATATTGGTGTAAAGGAACTAACACGGGGTGCCCAGATCTATAGATCTATTTAAATAAATCCACTAGGAGATTTATGGGGGTGATGGGGAGTGAAATGACCAAGTACCACTGATTGTCCTGATTAGAGTTAGCAGGTGACCAGGTTTGTGGTTCCTGCAGCCAAAGAGAGATCTTGTTGAAGGCCATCTTCTCCCTCTGCAGCCTTGGTGAGGACGAGTCCCAACTTGGAGAGTTGCTGGTGTCAGTTGTATAAAACAGTTGTGTAACCAGGTTGACACTGAGGTCTGCAGAGATGTTCTCAGGCAGAGAAGTTATGTAGGAAGAAGGGCTGCTTTGCTTCGAATTTAAAGATATTGACAGCGTCTACTATTTTGCCTAATTGGCTCTGCTCTTTGGCAGTAAGATCCTTTTTTTTTTAATGGAGTGGGTACAACAGTGGAAGAAATCTTAGTCATTATTATTTATTTATTTATTTATTTATTTATTTATTATTTGATAAATAGCTTGCTGTTTGCCTGTTCAGTGTTTGCACCAGCACGTTTTTTGGTCGTTTGAATGCTAAAAATTTGGAAGTGGAACAGAGGAAGATGGCTTTTAAATCCAATTTGGGTAGCATTGTCTAGCTTTTGAGAAAACTTGAGTGTTTTTATGGGAATATATGGTTATCAAATAATCCCTCTTTTTCTTCACAGACCTGTTTGATAAATGGGGATAATCACACAATAGGAAGTAATTCTTAGAATTTCCAATGCCATATAATTATAAAGAATCTCCCCAGATATGAATTTCTTATGCCTTTCTTTGGAGCAAAGAAAATATTCAGAACAGCTAAAAGTCAGCTATACTGCTTAAATTCTAAAGCCTTCTGTTCAGAAGGCTCTGCCAAAGTGGTGAAAATAAGACTACTTTTATTTTTAGAAGAAAATAACAAGAAAAGGGGGCATAGCAGCAGAATGTTAGAAGATGGTTACTAAACCCTCAGGCCAGATGGAGGCATCATTCCCAAGCCACAGTATGTCTTACATCCCAGTGTGCTTTAATGAGGAGTAGTAACCGCTACCTCTGAAAGAAATGGTGGCTGTTTTAATCATTGCACAGATGGCAAAGTAGAGAATGGGCCTCCACTCCAAGTGATGTTGAAGGGACAAATCATCGTAGCCAAATCTATTTGGAAGAAGCTTTTTTTTTATTTTGGCCGTGCCGCGCAGCCTATGGGAGTTTAATCCCCAGATCAGGGATCGAATCCGAGGCCCCAGCAGTGAGAGCGCCTAACCACTGGACCACCAGGGAATTACTGGAAGAAGCTTTTTAAAAGAGATCATCCCTGCTCCTTCTTACTACCTTTGATGGGTGAATTTCAGCAAGGAAATTTAGTGCTTTACCCTTAGAATGCAGCAGAACAAACAGTTGGATTTCAGTGTGCATTTATTCGGTGCTCAATGTTACTGCTGTTGTGTTTTGGGAGGAGTCGAGAGAGCATGAGATGGGGCCTTTGCTAAATTCTCATTAGAGAACTTAGTCACTAATTGGAGAGACAGCACTCTACAGATGATTAGAGAACAATAACTTGATCTTGAGGGAACTGTCAAGGTAGTTAAGGATTAAATGGTGTGATAGAAGCACTAAGCACTATAGCATTTTGGAGAAAGACTTGATTTACTCTTAAGTACCTTGAGATTGGGAATCTTGACTGAGGTGCCCCTAACTTCACACTTTCCTACTTCAGTGCCGTATTAACACATTCAACAGGAGGAATAAAAGCAACCTCATTTTACAAGTAGAATAATAGAATTAGTAATATATTATAAAGTTTTTGTTCTTAATATCGGGTAAAGTATCTTCTTGTCTCCCATTCTGAAACTAGATTGATAACTGAACTCGGAAATCTCCCCAAACATCAGATGTAGTTTGAATTCGCCACACATTCACATTGTAATTTAAAGAAGGGTGAGAAGGGAATCAGACTCCCGTACCCAAAGCATTCCTGTTAGGTGGGGCCAGACCATAACGTGCCTGTCAGAAGTAGAGTGTGTTTTTATTGATTTTCTGGACTTCCTTGGATAGGGACTGCCATGCCTCAAAGAAGGATCCCTTTTGTGATGCCAGGTCAGTGGTTAGTAAATGGAAAATTAGAGCAAATGTAGCTGAAACGAATACTGCTCAAACACATTGCAAAGTACAAGGAGCTTGAGTGTTGTTCTGTTACAGCCTCCGCTGAGGACATCATTTTATCACCTCTGACTTTTGACTTATAGCTCCATTTCACATCTCCTTTCCAGCTTCTTTCTTTTTCCTGTTCTCCCTAGTGGGAGTTGGATGGAGGAACGTTGGGCTAACTTGGAGAGGCCAGACTTGGTTATGTTGGGGGAAACTTAGATGTGCAGCCTTCCACACTGGGTCTGTGATTGTACGTAGCTGCTACCAGGGCCTGAAGCACAACTGCAAAGAAGGTAGTTTGGCTTTGCCCTCCTTGTCTTGCTTCTGAGATGTATGTTGGGACGGGGAGCAGACAACCTCCAGCTGCCTAGACTCCTTTCTGTCCAGAACTCCCCCATCTTCATAAAAATCCTTTGCTTAGAGGCTTTAGATAGCACTCAGTTGACTGACTAAAGTGAATAGAATGTGTTAGGAATGCATCTCTAACTGCTGGAATGTCTGGGGAGATAGGTTCGAGCAGAGAGGCCTTCTAGTTCTTGCTAGCTCTAGCTCTCTGCTTCTCAAAGAGTGGACCAGTGGTGGACAGTATTGGCATCACCTGGGAGCTTGTTAGAAATGCAAATTCTCAGGTACCACCTCTGACCCACACTACTAGACTCTGCAGGGTGGAGCCCCGAATCTGTATTTTAACAGGCTCTTCACGTGATCCTTATGCACACTGCCTTTGCTCTAGCTGACACTCTTCTCAGTCTCCTTCTGCTTAAACCCTCCTGCTTACTGATCTGCTACAGGGAGTAGCTATCCTATGGACTGTAAGCTCCCTGAAGGCAGTGATCACATCCGCATTATTCTCGGCTATTATCTTCATCACAGAGCCAGGCATATCGAATAACTGAGTGATTGGGATAAGCATTTTAGCCAAATGAAGATGCCATACTGCCTCCTTACAAAGTTGAAGGAGTTACTGCTGTGTCAGCTAGTCTCTTTTGGCCCTGAGGCAGTGCCACACGTGACTGTGGACCTGAGCACTGCTAGCTGCTTACAGACTGTTGGTCACTGTGTGGCCAGGAGGACCCTCTGTAGGTGGGTCTCTTACTCTCATAAACATATGAAAAAGCTTTAAAATGAAGTCCTTGGGCAAGAAAGGGGGATCTCAGACCCACTGTTAAGTGATGATTGTGTGTTAAAACAGCCTGTGTGGACTTCCCTGGTGGCGCAGTGGTTAAGAATCCGCCTGCAAATGCAGGGCACACGGGTTCAAGCTCTGGTCCGGGAAGATTCCCCCATGCTGTGTGTGGAGCAACTAAGCCCGTGCGCCACAACTACTGAGCCTGTGCTCTAGAGCCCGTGAGCCACAACTACCGAGCCCGTGTGCCACAACTACTGAAGCCTGTGCGCCTTGAGCTCATGCTCCACAATAAGAGAATCCACTGCAGTGAGAAGCCTGCGCACTGCAGTGAAGAGTAGCCCCCGCTTGCTGCAACTAGAGAAAGCCCGCGCGCAGCAACGAAGACCCAACGCAGCCAGACATGAATAAATTTTTTAAAAAAGCATCAAAATTTAAAAAAAAGAAAAACAGCCCGTGAGTCCTGTTCTACCAAACATAAGGACCTAGAAGTAATTCCTAGGTAGTGTTCAAGAAATGCCATTAATCAATCCTTGGAGATTTTTCAGATACACTTGGCTTGAACCAATTTCTAGATCCCAAAGCAGAGTCTTCGTGTACATTTTATGGCTAAAGCATACAGCAAATGGCTCTTGGCTAGATTTAGAACACTTCCTTTACCACGCTCTGTTCCTGACCCAGTTTGAGTCTCCATATGACACTTTGCTTCCTCCAGAAGGAAACTTTGAGGAATTTTTGCACCTTTTTTGCACTTGCTTCTGCTTACTAGATCTCGTTTGGGTTCTCCAGACTGATAAAAGGCACTGCCACAGGAAAAATTTCCTTATCTACCAGTAGTACTTCCAAGAAGGTCCTTATTCTCGAACTTTCAGGAAGCACCTGTGAGTAATGTTTCAGCAAAGTTCAGCTTCCTGAACATCGAATGATACTTGAAAATCTCTGTGGCTTATAGTACTTCTGAAATAGCATTTTAAATTACATTAACTAGTCCATTTAACAGAGGTGGTTATGACTTACTTGAATATTTAGCTTGAGGGGAGGACAAAGAGCATTTTAAACTGAGGTTCCACTGCTTAGGTAGTTGGGTGAAGTTGGTGAACTGCAGCTTGGGGGAGACAAAAATGTCCTCAATTAGGGAACAGACTCCAAGGCAGCCTTGGGCTTATCCCTGTAGTACCTTAAACTGACCTTCTTCCTTTTTAGTACAAGTGCTCTCCTGATTCCAAGGCCTATGCCATTCCTCCTTTGCCTGCCTAGTCCTCATCTCTGGGGTCAAAAGGCACCTTGGAAACTCTAGTGTGGTTCCCTTCTCTGTTTGGGAATCTCTTCTCCAGTGTTTCTGATGTGCTTGGATCCAGACTGCTCTGAGTGACCACTTGCTGCTGTAGAGACAGCTGCTGAAGGAAGGGGTTCTTGTAGCCACTGGAATGGCAGCCTTAGTCTCATACAATTCCTTCCTGTCGGTCAGGACGCCCTGCCACAGCTGCTCTGTCTCTTATTGTCAAAGGACTGTTCCTCTCTCCAGTCGAGCAGGTCCAGTTGGAAACCAGGCAGCTCTCACTACACTCACTTCTGGGATGGGGAGCTATTTGAAGGACCCATAGCAAGGAGGGGATGTGATGATGAATACTGATGGCCCAGAAACTATGGTTGGCCTGGGGATAGTCACATACTGACTTAGTAATTCACCTTCTAGATAGCAGCTGCTACCACTGTGTCCATAGCATGTCTGGTTCGATCACTTTATCTGAAGGCTACCCCAAAGTTAACCCACAAACGAGGTGCCCTGTTGAATTTGAGCACTGTTGATAAGGTACAGCATGTAGTAGTTGGAGTACTTTAGTGTCCACAGCAGAAGGCAGAGGTGGAAAAAATCCAGGTGCAGAGAGGCAGAAGGATGGTTGAGGTGTGTATGAAATCCGTGCATGTTCAGTGGCCCTGGCTGTGGCTAGATGCTGGACTAGGTATTCTCTGTCCCTTCCTTATAGATTCTCTCATGCTTTGTCGTGAACTAGAATGCATTGGAGAGCCTTTGATGGAAATTCCTACCATCAAGGGCCCTGACATTTAACTCACACTAGCTAGGACTGTTAGAAGGAGAAGGCCTTTTTGGACTAAGCTTCACATTGATCCACCTTCCGATCACACACAGGTTGCCGCCCTCTGGTGGGTACTGCCCAGTAGGAGAAGGCCTTTTTGGACTAAGCTTCACATTGATCCACCTTCCGATCACACACAGGTTGCCGCCCTCTGGTGGGTAACTGCCCAGTAATGGCAGCTCCTTCTTTTACAGAAAGGCGAGAGGACCTTCGCGGAGGATTTATGCTTTGTTTTTTGGATGATGGAGCAGGAATGGATCCAAGTAAGTGTTGGGCTGATTGCTTCTTTTGGGGAGGATGTAACCATTTTTACAAAATGCTTATTGTGTTAACTTGTTTTTCTGTTGCCTCACTCTTGTGACTAGAAGGGAGAGGGAGGTCTCTTGCAACATCTCAGGCTTAATTCCACTCACGGATTTGCTGGGTTTTGTTCTAGCATGGGAAATAGGATCTGAGTGGCAGCCTGAAGTCCGTCAGATTACCTGTCTCTTGACATTGTATTTATCAGCTGGTGTAACATCCTGGAGCTGGAACTGTGGTGGCCACCCCCAGCCTTATTATCACGTTCTGGTAACAGAACAAGGGCCTAGTGATGGCGGTACTGACAGGCCAGTCAGAGGTTTCCTCCATTTGCCTCATGGTTGTGAATTTCCTTGGACAGAGGTTTTCAGTAGACAGACAGCCCTGCTTGGATTTAACAAGGCTCAGACCTTTGATTTTTGAGAGTCTGGGAAAGAAAAGCAAACTTTTCACTTTCTCTTGTGTCCGCCACTTCAGGTGATGCTGCCAGCGTGATCCAGTTTGGGAAGTCAGCCAAGCGAACGCCTGAGTCCACCCAGATTGGGCAGTACGGGAATGGGTTAAAATCGTAAGTATACTAGAAGCCTGTCCCAGGACTCAAAACAAAATCGAGCAATGCCCTCCTGCTTCTGTCCAATGAAAACGTTCCTCGTCCTTGTCCCTCCATCACGGTAATTCTGGAACAGGAGGAGAGTCGGGAAGGAGTTGTGGTTTGGGGACTTAGCAGCTGATGTCCAGCCTACGTCACAGATCAAAGAGTATGAACATCCAAAATCATTGAGGTGGGAGAAGCTGTAGGTTTCTCTTGGCACTGTGCTCTGGAACAGCACCTCTCCTCCTACTGAAAATTCTTATTTTTACCCTGTGGTTGAAGATGCAAGTGGCTGTTTTGTGGGCTTGGGTTGCTTATGAGATGGTGAAGGGGTCACTCTGTGGTGCAGCGTGTCCCCTGAGCACCTGTCACGCTTTGTGCCAGGCACTGGGGATCCAGGGTGAGTGAGTGAGAGACCCGAAACACCACCCACCGCAACACCACCAAAGGACCTGGTTGCTACTCACATGTCCTGCCAGGCCCTGTAGCAGGGACCTACCTAATATCTCCCCATCCCTTGGGACTTCTTTCTCAGCCCTTGGTTCCCACTTGTTTGGCATTTGGAATGCGGTGTTCTGGTTTTGAGTGAAGCCCCAAGAGAAAGATTTCTATTTCTGAAATGCTCACTTCCAGTTGTACATACCTTTGGATGGAATAAGATTTAGTGGGATTGGAGTTTGTACAAATGGAATTCTGAGTCATGTTTCTAGTCTTGCTGTGGAAATGTGTTGTTTTATTTGAGGGTGGTGTTTGGTTGGGCAGCAGCATCAGTTGTCCCTCCATGCAACCAGCTTGGGTGTATGGGGAAGAGAGAGAGTGCTTCCCATGATGGCAAGGACCTGGTACCTGGATCTCCCACTTGTCTCTCAATAACAAGCACTTACCATGTGCTGGGCACTGTGCTAAAAAACTTTACTTGAATGATTTCGTTTAATCCTCACCATAGCCCTGGTGAGGTATAGGTACTATGATTCTCATCTTCAGATGAGAAAATTGAGGTTTATAGGGGTGATGTGACTTGCCCAAAGGTGTGAAAATGCCCAAGTGTAGAGCTGAGATATGCACCACGTCTTTCTGACTGCAAGGCCGGAGCTGCTGTCCATCTTACTTCAGTCAAACCAAAGTTCAAATCTGACATCAGCCGCTTAATTGCTTCTGTGAGCCTCAGCCTCCTCCTTTGTAAATTGAGATTATAACACATATGAGTAGGTTAAGAATTTATCATTACTGTGAGAGCCCTAGCCTAGTTTCTCCCTTCTTACTTTATCTCTCCTTTGATCTTTCCATGGTAGATTTTTGGCCTGATTTGGTGGGCCTGGGGTAGGGCCCAGGTGATTCTGGTGTGGTGATCTAAGTTTCCAACAACTGAGGTCTCCTAGAGTCAGATGTAAGAAACCCTGACTTCCCTTCTGGATTATAGATAAAACCCCCTCCTGGTTTTATCAGCTCTGTGACTTCAGACAAGCCGTTTCACCTTCTCTGAGTATGATTCCTACTGTAGAAAATGGGCTTCTAAACACTGACATTCTTCCTTACTGAGGAAGTTTCAGGAGCAAATGAAATGTGATTCTGGAAGTGCTTAGAAGACCAGGAAGGAAAGCATACCGAAGTTGAGAATGTTGCCATCGGCGTATTCTGGTAGAACGACTTTTGAGAAGGCACCATTGAGAAGGAGTCATCTAGTGTTAAGAGTGAATTCATTTTGAAACTAGTGTAGAAGTTGAAAGAGTTTCAGGAGGAAGTGATTTGTGGTGAGAATAGGGCTGTGAAGCAGAGAAGCCAGCAGAGAAGTGGCATTTCTGGGTTGTTGCTATTTACCCTCCAAGGTCAAGATCAAAGACAGGGGAGAGGCACAAAGTGAGAGGTTTTGCCAAATTAGGGTAAGAGCAAGCTTTGGCAGAAGGCAAGCTAATGTGCCTCGTTTTGCCACCGGTAAGTTTCAGGGAGGCAGGAGGAGGACTGTGAAATTGTCTGGGGAGGGAGCATTGCCAGCACCTCGGGAACTGGAGGAGGAGAAAAACAACTTGGCAGCCACCGGGGCATCTCTGGATAGTGTCCTGGAGTTTTCCTGAACATTTGGGGCAATGGGGCATGGCGTTCATTTGTATACTTGGCACACTGGCCCAGTTTGTATTTGTATTTACATAGAAGGGAGTAATAAGGCTTCCCGCCACTGTCACCTCCCTGGGGTATTAGGAGGACTAATGAGGTAATAGCCATAAAGCCAGAAGCTGCTCAGAAGACAGGTCAGTGGGTCCTGTTCCCACTGGTGCTTCACGCTTTTGCCCTGTTCAGTGTTTCCCAGAAAGGCCTGTCCTTGCCTGCTCCTCAGAAGGATTAACTCAGCCAAATAGAGGAAGGAGCAGTTGATTCCGTTCAGACTTCTGCCTTGTGGAAGTCAGCCTGGAGGCACATTTTTCAGAAACCAGTTGCTTCCTAAAGCAGGGACCTGTGGCTTAATGAGTTGAGGTGACAAAACAATTGAAGACACAAGATGGTTGTGGTTACAGGACATGAGCCAATTGTAGGCCTCCTTGGAACTGTGTTCAACAGCGATACTTTGGTTAGCCCTGTGTTTGGCTGAGCCTTGGGGTCATCCTGGTTTTTTGAGGACTTGTGAGCATAGGCAGTGGGCTGTTCCCTTGATGGTGCTGCCGTTTGATGAGTGGATGGGAGGGGAGTTTGTGTCAGTGAAGGAAGGACAGGGTGAGACCTGGATGTGCTCAGTGTGTAAGATGATGTGTGTGTTGGAGGTGTTACTGGAGTGAAACCTGGTGGCTCACAGTCAGGCCACAGCAGCCCTGTGTGGCTGGGAAGAAACCAGAGCACAGGCAGCGACAAGCTGGGGTGAGACTCCTCCGGGGCTCTTGCTTGGTGGTGAGAGAACCCTGCGTGCTGCGTAAATGTGGTTGAGAAGGTGATGAGGAGAAACTGAGGCCCACGGAAGAGCAGGAAGAGGAGTGTCGGGAGGTGGGGGTCGGGGAGGAGAGGGAGCGAGGGCTGTGAAGCTCAGCTCAGGGTCCTGGGTCCCAGGGAGGCCTTTAGGGGAGCCCTCCAAAGGCAGTTGCATCACGTCCAGAGGGGGGATTTGCTTCTTCTTCAGGTGAGCTTTTGAATCCCTAGGAGAATAACCCATTTCTGCTTCCCTTTCAGGGGCTCAATGCGCATTGGGAAGGATTTTATCCTCTTCACCAAGAAGGAAGAGACCATGACCTGTCTCTTCCTGTCGCGAACCTTTCACGAGGAGGAAGGCATTGATGAAGTAGGTCCCATCCTCATTCTCCCAGTCACCATTCCACTTCCTAGTTCTACCCAGGCTGTTTTCATAGGTCATTTGCATGCTGGGCTTATTGGCGTTGCAGGATTGCAGCCACATCCCGTTATGGGATTAGCTGGTTGGTTGGATGAACTTGTTGAGGGGAAGGCAGGTGTACGCGGGCCTCTCACTGCTGTGGCCTCACCCGCCGCGGAGCACAGGCTCTGGACGCGCAGGCCCAGCGGCCATGGCCCACGGGCCCAGCCGCTCTGCCGCACGCAGGATCCTCCCAGACCGGGGCACGAACCCGCGTCCCCTGCATCAGCAGGCGGACTCCCAACCACCGCACCACCAGGGAAGCCCAAGGCAGGTGTCTTAATGTGAAAGGAAGTAAAATCTCACAGCTTCAGAGAAGAGTTGTCCCGGTTCTGAGAATGAGGCCATCAAGTGTCAGGAACCAAGAGTTGGATTTGTAGGTCTCCTAGATCTGCAGCTTGAATTCAGTCCTGGGGTAGGGGATGTCACTGGGGAGAGCTGTTTTATCAGGGGAAGTATTTGGGGCTTCCCTGACTATGGGTGGAGACCACAGCTGGTGATAATAATAGGAACAGCACTGTCTTTCCCATATGATGGTGATTTTGTGGAATGTGCTGTGAGTGCATTTTCCTTTTGAGGAAATGTGTTACTCTAACCATTTATATCAGAAGCTACAAGTCTGATACCTGCAGGGCCTGGGCAGGTAGTGAAGCAGGTGAACACATGGAAAATCATTTAAGTTTTTCAGTAAGTGGCAGCTGACACACAGCCTCAGCTGATTATTGTTATGTTGGAAGGAAGGTCTAATGACTCTAGAATATTCTGATTTTGAACTGTGTAAGTTAAACACATGCATAGCTGATTCTCTTTGGGCCTGGCGGCTCATGTCTGCAGAGCTGGTTTGGTGAGGTCTGTGCCCGCTCATGGGAGGATCAGGGAAGGCCTTGGCCTGCCTAGCCTCAGACTAGACTCTTAACTCCTTTCCTGTGTGAGAAATGGAGGCCAGAGCTTGAGAGGGGGCCAAGAGTGTCTGCAGAGAGAAATCCATTCCTGTCACTTAAACAGGTGAAATGCGGTCAGTGTCCATCTAACTCATCTGTGTTGGTTGGCTGTGAGTAAATTGGTACTGGCCTTGTTTAGATGTGAGCCTAAATCATAGCAAATCAGTTCATGCTGGGAACGAAAGGCTCTTTTTCTGCCGTCTTTACTTCGTGAGCCACTGGGTTTGTTTGCCTTTTTGGTGAGTGAGAGAAGTGCTGCAGCTGGCAAGCACTCCCGGGAAAGGTGGGGCAGGAGGATTTGGCCCTGGCTGGGCTTTTCAGGACTGCTTCCTGGTGGACTGAGGGTGGTGTGAGCAGGGGCTGCACGTCAATAGAAACGGTCTGTTCCTGGCCTGAGAGCTGGTGGGGGCTGTGGGAAGGGCAGAGGGGCCACCTGACGAGAGGTGGTGGCCTCTGAAGAGCAGAGAGGGTAGGTCGGGCCTGACCTCTGGGCCTTGGGGAGTGTGTGGGACTTTATTAAAAGCAGCCACGAAAGGGAATCTAAGCAATGTATTAGATCCTCTTTGAAAAGATCAGTTTGGTTATTGTGTGGTGCCTGGATTGGAAAGATTGGGGTGTTGGTGTCAGAGGCCCTGGCTGTCTACAGGACTCCAGCAGGGAGGTGAGAGAAATAGGAGTGGCCGCAGATTTGGTGTTTAATCAGTTGGAAAGGGGAAATGGGAAGGGGGGTTGTAGATGGCTGAGGTCCTGGTGTGGCACTTGGGGGTGGGCTGTCTGGAGCCGGGGAAGGATGGAAGAGGGGCAGTTTGGAGGGGAAGCGTGTACGTTTTGTCCTGGACACGCAAAGTTAAGTCTGGGTCTGGAGCTCGGGGGAGGCTTAGACTCCCAGGAATCTTCGTAGTGAATGGGCTCACCTAAAAGAGCGTGCTGGAGAAGAGGGCCTGGGGTCTTAGGCATGCCCGCCCACATGTAAAGGCTAGGGAGAAGGGGAAAGCAGCAAAGGAGGCAGGAGCGGCCAGAGGGGTAGGAGGAAAGCCAGGTGAGTGGTGACCCTGAAAGTAAAGGAGGAATGTTCCGATGGTGGGTGGGTGTCAAATGAGGTGAGTGCCCAGAGGTTAAAGTAATGCCGTTGTCACCTGGGACTGCTGTGAAGATTGGGAAGTGTAAAGGAGGTACCAATTCAGAGAACACAAATGGAACTCAATTCCCCTGGTGAAAAAGCTAGGTTGAAATTTTTTCCTTACTTGGTGCTAGAAGGTCACTGTTTTGGATTGTACTCTAGTGTGAACTCAGCCAAGATTTCAAAATAAGATCACTTTTAGCTGGGTGGGAATGTGTCCAGACCAGCCCCAGGGCTGAATACTATAGCTTCTTAGAAACCAGTAAAGTGCCTCAGAACTCTTAACAGTTTATCACCACAGAGCTTGTTAAAATACAGAATCCCCTTTTCCGCAGGGTGGGCCAGCCATCCATTTTGAACCTCTGAGGTGCCTGGAGTGGTTTGCTCTGCAGAGGGAATCCCAGGCTACAGGGCTCCCCGGCACCTGGGAGAGGGGTGGGGGGAGGGAGAGATGCACGTTGATGCCTCCGGGGAAGTGGCGTTTTAGTAGGGTTTTTGAAGAATGAGTAGGATTTTTCTCCCAGCTTTGTTGAGGTATAATTGACGGGTAGGATTTTCTAGAAGATTACGTAGATGTAAGGTTAAATTTTATACATATGGAAGAGTGTATTAAAATCTCTCTATATATGTATAACTGAATCACTTTGCTGTACAGCAGAAATTAACACAACATTGTAAATCAACTAGACTTCAATAAAATTTAAAAAAATAACTTACGTACAGTTGAGAGTAATTATAAAGCAAATACCCACGTAGCCACCACCATAGACTGATGCTAGAAGTCCCCATGTGTCCCTCACCAATCATATTCCTTATCGCACCTCTTAAGGAACTGCCTTGGTGATGATCAGTCATTTCCTTGTTTTTCTTTATAGTTTTGTCACATGTGTATGCATTCTTGAATAATAGTTTATTTTTTGCTTATTTATGAATTTTATATAAATGGACTCATACTATAGCGTTTTGTTTTTAGATTTTATTTCTCCTAGGATATATACCTGGGAGTAGAATTGCTGAGGTATAAGTTATGTTTGTGCTTGTCATTAGATTCACTAGATCATCGCAAATATGTTTTGCTTAGTGGAAATAATAGACTTATTACCAAATAGGGAAAATGACCAGGGATATCCCAAGCAGGGAACTGCTCATGCAGAGACCCCCAGGCCATAAGGCAGCATACCCCAGAGGACCTAGCAGTGTGAGGCAGAGTCTTGGGAAGGGCAGAAGCTAGAGCCACTGGTGCCGGGCTGGGGGGCTTGGGCCTCCCCTTGGGGCAGTGTGGAGCTGCTGTGGGGAGGGACAAGATGGATGCACATTTGCAGGGGAAGGCTGTTTCGGGGCTTCCTTCAAGCGTCTGCTTGTGCTTCCTCCAAAGGTGATAGTCCCATTGCCCACCTGGAATGCTCGGACCCGGGAACCTGTTACAGACAACGTGGAGAAGTTTGCCATCGAGACGGAACTCATCTATAAGTATTCTCCCTTTCGCAATGAAGAGGAAGTGATGACTCAATTCATGAAGATTCCTGGGGACAGTGGTAAGTAGGCCTGCAGCCTCTAGCATCGGGGAGCTCCAGAGCCAGGAGCAGTATGGGGATTGGCTGGGGGTGCCTGGTAGAACCACAGGATTTCTATTCCCTAGGAACGCTGGTGATCATCTTCAATCTCAAACTCATGGATAATGGAGAGCCAGAGCTGGACATAATCTCAAATCCAAGAGATATCCAGATGGCAGAGACTTCTCCGGAGGGCACGTGAGTGTGGCTGGGTAGGGAGGAAAAGGGAGGTGACTTGAGGGAGAGAGGGGTGAGCTTGTTCCCTGAATTCCCCAGTTTTAGAGTTGGTAAAGCTGAGAACTCAATGTCTTCCTGCCACAAGGCAGAAGGGATGAATAGAAGGACAGCAGGTCCTCAGCTAATCCAGATCCTTGCCCCAGCTCCTTAACTTGAATGAGAAAGAGACCGAGGCCTAGAGAGGGGAGAGGAATTGCCAGGTCCGTGCTGGGATGGTGGGGCCAGTTTAGGTGTCTGTGCCAGGGACGGGAGAGGAGGTGGGATGTGGTGCCCACACAGAGGAAGCACCCCTCAGGGCAGCAAGAGAAGCCGAGATGGGAGGTGGAAAGGTGGAGAGCCTGCAGAGAGGCTGTCCGCCCAGGCCTTCAGTTGGGCTGGTGGTGGGAGGGTGACAGCACCCTCCATTCTGCTGCCTCCAGGAAGCCAGAGCGCCGCTCCTTCCGCGCCTATGCTGCCGTGCTCTACATTGATCCCCGGATGCGGATCTTCATCCATGGGCACAAGGTGCAGACCAAGAGGCTCTCCTGCTGCCTCTACAAGCCCAGGTAGGGGCCTGCCCACCCTGGCCTGCTGTTTCCTTTGGGCCAAGGATGGGGCCTGGCCACGTGTCTCTGGGCATCTTTGGAGTGATGGTGGATGAGCGACTCTGACAATGTTGACTGCATTTGGGTCTTTAAGCTGCTTGTGATTAACTGCAGACAAACTACGGGGTCCTGAGGGAGGGGGAGAGGTGGCTGGTGAGGCTTGTTGAGTGTGCCTTCTGCGAGGTGGAGGGTGCTCAGCCTGACACGGTGAGCTGTCTGAGCCTCTGGTTGCAGGGCCAATGGCCCTTTAGACAGTACACAGGGAAGCAGAGGCCCTGCTCGTTGCTGAGGTTGGTTTCTACTGTGGGATTAATGACACACTCGGAGAGTAGTGAGGTTGCTTTTCAAAGATGGAGCAGGATGGCAAGGGGCAAGTGGAGTAGGGAATTGAGTGTTTTTGCTAAAATAAGCTTGGCTTTGACTCATCGGGGGGCCAAGGTAGTTGCTGCCCTGCACCTCTGGTGCTCAGGCCCTCTGGTTACTCGCCCCCCGCCCCCCCCCCAGGATGTACAAGTACACGTCAAGCCGGTTCAAGACCCGCGCGGAGCAGGAGGTGAAGAAAGCTGAGCACGTGGCACGGATTGGTAATGACCCCCTGGGCAGGAGGGTTGTCTGGGGGACACTGCTTGTGGCAAAAGCAGGATCCAGGCAAAAACTCCATGCAACACCCAGGGGTGGGCTTTCCTGAACCACTGGTCCAGTTTCTCTCCCACCTCTCCCTCAGCAGTTTTTCTTTCCAGGCTACTCCTTCAGCCATTTACAGACTGTTATCTAAAGCTTGCCTGCCCAGAGTGAAGAGTCCCACACTGTCCTCTGGCACAAATACTTGTGAAATTGGTTTTCTTGACTCAAGGGCAAAAATCTCAAGGTCTCTCTTGGTGACAAAGCTTCTTGGCTGCTCCAGGAGAGTGGTTGGCTGAGGACTGTTGGTAACTTCCAGCTCCTGCTGAGGATTTAACTCTGGTTGCCTTGGGCAGTGCTTGACCTGTTCTGATTCATTTGTAAAGTTGGAAAAGGTGTGTGTTTTCATTGGGGCTTCCTTGACTTTCCAAGCAAGGAGGCTGCTCTCCCAGCTCACCTGTTCCCTGACAGTGTACTAACGTCTCATACGGCAGGGACTGCACTATGGGGTCCAGGAGGGATAGCTAAGAGTTTTGACCTTTTGAATTCTTATCATGGTTTCTTCTGGGTTTCAGCTGAAGAGAAGGCAAGGGAAGCAGAGAGCAAAGCTCGGACATTAGAAGTGCGCCTGGGCGGAGACCTCACACGGGACTCCAGGGTGAGGCCCCAGACCCAGCAGCTCTTCTCCAGCGTTGCTGCCCTTAGGATCCCAGAGCTCGCCTGGCTCTGTCTCCCGCCAGTCATGAATCCCTTGCCCTAGAGCTGCAAAATGGGATGTGATGATTGTTTCCATAGTCACTATTGAACACACTGTATGGCAGGATCTTGGCAACCATGTGAGGTGGACACTGTTAGTATCCTCAGTTTATAGAAAGAAATGGAAGAGGGTCACTTGCCACAGGTCACACACAGCAGTAAGGGTCAGAGCAGTTCTCCACCCCTCCCCTGCGACACACACACCTCTGCAGGCTGTTGTTTCGGTTGGGGGTGTTTGCTCCTCCGTGTCAGCAAGTCTGGTCAAGTGAAGCACAGCTTTTGTGTTTGTCCCTAGCGAAGGCCCTTTTCTGTGGAAAGGAAGTAAATTTCCAGGTCTGTTTTTGCGTCCATGTGATTTAAAGTGAGAAGTTTCAGATGTGTTGTTAATGATATTACTGGCTGTGGCCCAGAGCACTTCCTCTCCTTACTTGGTGCTGGCGTGTGTTTCCAGGTGATGTTGCGACAGGTCCAGAACACGGCCATTACCCTTCGCAGAGAAGCTGATGTCAAGAAGCGGATCAAGGAGGCCAAGCAGCGGTGAGTGCCCGGCTGCCCTTGGGTCTTTTAAAATTATGTAGCTTTTGTATGGATTATTGACAAAGAAAGAGTTTGAGGAATCCCTCTCCACCCAACAAGATTGCTATTCTGTCACATGCAGATTGCTTTGAGAAAGCCATTAATGTTGTGATTCCCAGATGTTTGTCACATGCCCACCACAGGAGAGGTTACCCAGCTCAGTTCTCCCCTGAGCCAGGACAAGGTGGGCAGAGCCAGCACCTTGAGTTGAACACCAGCCTGTCCTCACTGGCAGTGCGCTCACCTTCCCTCCCCCCCCCTTCCTTTCTCCCCTTTTCTCTCTCCTCCATTCTCTCCCCACCTTGCCCATCTTTTCCCTCTTCCTTTCCTTTTTCCTTTTTTTTTTCTTTTCATTTAAAGGATGTATAAAATGCTCGTTCTATACAACTTGTAAAATATAGAATATTTAAGAAATACAGCTGTAAACTCCCTTATACTTCTCCCACCTGGTGATATGTACTCTTAATAATGCTATAGATTTTGTTCCTTTTTATCTAGACGGGGCATTTGTCCTGGCTCATTACATGATCTCCGTGTCCCCCTCCACGTCTGGAGCCTCTGCAGGCTCTGGGCCTGAGTCCCTGCTTACTTCTTGGCCTCCTCACCACAGGCCTAGGTTTCGGGTATCTGCCCCGTGAGTCTGACCACTGATCATCTATCTGCTTTACAGTTTCCACGATTTTGTTGACGTTTATCCCATGATCATTTCTTCTCTCACATGTTTATTGTTCTTGTGAATTTTTGTCTTTTTAAAATTAATTACTGTCACATTAGTGGAATGGTTATGCAGATGACCTTGTGTTTATTCCACTAAATAAGCATCTTTGCAGAGATCTGCAACAGCTTCACAGAATCCCATTCATACTTAAATACATCCCTGTTTGATACCAAAAGCTAAAGTCATATGCTTTTAATTAGGGAGCTTAGAGTGACTGCACAGTGAGTATCCTTGTCAAGTCTACAGGTTGCATATTGAATGCAAAGGCAAAACTTAAGTGTCTCAAGTTTCAGCTTAAGCTTAATACATCTTAAACACCATGGTATTTGTGTGTTAATGGGTTGATCTGATTGAATTTATCTTTTGTCTTCTCAGAGCGCTTAAGGAACCCAAGGAACTGAACTTTGTTTTTGGGGTCAACATCGAGCACCGGGACCTGGACGGCATGTTCATCTACAACTGTAGCCGCCTGATCAAGATGTATGAGAAAGTGGGCCCACAGCTGGAAGGGGGCATGTGAGTGCTGCCTGAGGAGAGCTTCAGCCCAGGGTGGTTGGCGGGAGAGGTTTGGTCAGTGGGGTGACAGAGCCGTGTCTACCTCCTCCTGCAGGGCATGTGGCGGGGTCGTTGGGGTTGTAGATGTGCCCTACCTGGTCCTGGAGCCTACACACAACAAGCAGGACTTTGCTGATGCCAAGGAGTACCGGCACCTGCTGCGGGCAATGGGGGAGCACCTGGCGCAGTACTGGAAGGACATCGCCATTGGTAATGCCCTTTCGCTTCACCTCCAGCCTTGAGATCCTCTCGCTGCCTCAGGGGGCTGACTCCTCACACGATGTGTGGGTGCTTGTCTTCCAGCCCAGCGGGGAATCATCAAGTTCTGGGATGAGTTCGGCTACCTCTCTGCCAACTGGAACCAGCCTCCATCCAGTGAGCTGCGTTACAAACGGCGGAGAGCTATGGAAATCCCAACCACCATCCAGTGTGGTGAGTTGGGGGTCGGCACCTCCTCCTGACTCCTTTCCATCATAGTCGCCGTGCTGGCCTCCTGACTGCACTGACATTCAGGGACATATGTCCCACTAGGGATATGAGTCTGTTTGGTGATGGCCCTGGGAGCTCAGTCTTGGGGCTGTGCTGTGCCCACCTGTTCCTTCTAAATGAGGCAGGAGGTCATCTACCCTGCCGGGTCTCACAAGGTTTGCTACCACATCGGTAGAAGTGTGAGTGATGTCTGAGTCAGGATTTTGCTGGAGGAGGGAGAGGGGTTGGGGCCACTGAGGGTCTGTGGTATAAAGTTTCCATCCCTGCTGGAATCACTATCCCTGAGAAGAGTGACTGTTCTGTAAGGAAGGCAGAGTTGGAGCCAGACTGAGGATATTTGTATAGAAAGTCGGGGGCATCTCTGCCTTGGGCCTGGCTGGGAGGAGCCTGGTTATTGTTGGTGGGCATGGCTGATGTTTTGTTGGGGGTATGTTCTGTGTCACAGATTTGTGTCTGAAGTGGCGGACCCTCCCCTTCCAGCTGAGTTCTGTGGAAAAAGATTACCCTGACACTTGGGTTTGCTCCATGAACCCTGATCCTGAGCAGGACCGGTGAGCACTTTTTCTAACAAGGAGTTTGTGGGCGTCCCCACCTCCCCCCGTGCTTTTTCCACTCTTCCACTATGCTTCTTGAGGTCAGTGCTCATATCCTTACATGTCTGTCTTGCTGTATAATAAGTGCCTGGAAGTAATAGAAGTGTGTCCTGCAATGAGTATTAATTCTGTGCATTTGGGAAGTCTGAGGTTGCTCTGGTGAGAGAGAGCATAGGTTGGCTGGGGAGGAAGGACCCTGCCCTACCTGGAGCTATCCTGCCACATCATTCCTAGCACTTTCTCACTACAGGTGTGAGGCTTCTGAACAGAAGCAGAAGGTTCCCCTGGGGACGTTCAGAAAGGATCTGAAGACACAGGAAGAGAAGCAGAAGCAACTGACAGAGAAAATTCGCCAGCAGCAAGAGAAGCTGGAGGCCCTGCAGGTGTGTGGGTCATGGGCAGTGGGCACATGGGCAGGACCCCTCAGTGTCTCCTCTGTTCCCTCAGGCTCAGTTTCACCCTTCTGTCACCCATGAGTGCTGCCCAAGCTTTCCAACCCCAACCTCCAGGCACACTGGTTCTCCAGTATGCCTTGATCATTCTTTAAAAAAAAAAAAATTTGTTTATATATTAACGAAGAGGTCCGATTCATCTAGAATGTTTTGAAACTCCAGAAAGTACATATCCTGTCTTAGAGGTAACCACCATTAACTGCACATCCTTCCAACTTTTTATGACCTGTACATACACATAAATACATATATTTTTTATTAGAAATAGAGATCATGACTTACTTGTGTCATATCACACACACATACTTTTTTTATTAGTGCGTAATTATTTTCTTGGGATAGTTTTCCAGAAGTGAATTTGAAAGAGTAAAAGGATTTTAAAAATTCTGTTTTCTTTAAATAACTATTTCCAGATTATTCTCCAGAAGATGTATTATGTTTTGTTTTTTATCAGCAGTACATTTATTTTTAAATGTTTTTGAAAATTTGATAAGCAAAGATACACATCTTAAATTTGAATTACATATTTCTAAAATTGAACAATTTTTTCGTGTGTTTCTTTTAGAACTGCTTATTGTTCTCTTATATTACTGTTGTTTTAAATTTTTTCCTTAATTGACTAGTCACGTTTTTTTAGATACATGTGTGGTATCAACCATTTATCGTATTTATTACAAAAGCCTTTCCTTTTCTGACTTCTGCACAGGCAGATGCTCTCATTGTATGCATGCCTCCCTGTCTGCCAATTCCCACCTGTCCTTTCCGGCTTTGGCCTTTAGGGATCTCCAAGCTTTTGGCTTGTTTTATAGGAATTTAGTCTACTGACACTTTTCCCCAGTCTCTCAGTTGCTGGATTAATCATATAGAATCCTGTAATTTGCTGGTAGTTTAGTGTTTGTGAATTTTTGTCTTCTCAGTTAGAATGGGAGGCTTGTAATAGTAGGACTGTGGCCCAGGTGTTCTTTTTTATTTGCCCACTGTCCCAGACCGTGGGGCTCCAAAAAGAGTTCGCTTGAATGTACCAGATACGCAAACGACCTCCTCATCATGTTTACCCTGCAGAAAACCACACCCATCCGCTCCCAAGCTGACCTGAAGAAATTGCCCTTGGAAGTGACCACCAGACCTTCCACTGAGGTAAAGCCCAGGGATAGGGGCAGGGCTTTTCCTCAGGTGTCTCATGCTGGGATCCATGTTGTCACTGTCTCTGGGCCTCTTTCAGGAACCTGCACGTAGACCTCAGCGTCCTCGGTCACCTCCTTTACCTGCTGTGATCAGGAATGC